GCAGGAAAATGGCCGCGGACCACGTGTCAGGGCGTAAAAATGACCGTACCCCGAGGCGGAGTTCACACATCGAGGTAAATTTTTGCGGCTGGAGCTGGGCGTAACCCGAAAAGTTTGTTAGTAGAGGCATTCGTATCCCGAGGTACCACTGTAATTTTTAGTTGCCAATTCTTTCTTTACAGAAATGAATAAGGAAGTCTGAGCAGGAAATTGCCCCAGGAAATAGTATCTTTGAACGGCTTTTTTTAAAAAAAATCTGCCTTGTGCTTTTTGCTATAATAATTCCTAGGGGCTAGTCTCTTGTGGACTAGGATTCTAAAAGCTTATTGTAAAAGGAAAGGTGAGCAAACTTCAGTTCTTTGTTCCGGTGGGCTGTGCACCTCTGCATAAGAAGGAACTTCTACACTGTGGCCATTTGATAAGGTGAGTGTTTCTAAGTTAATGCTAGATATAGAAACGGATAGTGAAAATAACTTTGACTGTGTCAGCTTTCCTCAGCAAAAGTATCCAAAGCTTTGCTTCTATCACGGCTTCTTGATTTTTGTCTCTTGAAAATCCTGACCAAAGATTCAATTAAGTTTGATTCCTATTCCATTACTCAGTATTGCCAACTGAACAGAATTCTTGTTACCTCTTGATCTATTCTGGTATGTGCACATATATTATTATAAAATACACATTTTACATTCTATTTATTGTAAATGAAGTTTTGAGGACATTCTTCAAATACATTTCCACCAAATATTCAGCTGAAAAACATAGCATTCCTTGAAAGCAAGAAAAGCTTCTCAACAAAACATTGGTCAGCATCAGCATCATGTTACACACACAAAACTTGATTGTTTTTATGTTGTTTAGATTAAAACACCTACCTCAACCTCTCTTTCAGTAAGTGGAGGAGAACTGCAATAAAAACAGGAATAACTTATGAAGCTTCCAGCATATAAAAGCCATTTATTCTGCACACTTAATCAGCATCTACAGGTTAAGCCATTTTCTTCAACTATCAGTGATCAGCTAACTGTATACATGCTGTAATTAGAGAATGAAAATACTATAATGTATCTTACTCGAAATCAAATACTTTAATTCATATTTTATCATCTGTAAATTTCATTATTGTGCTGCAAGATACAGAATCTTGGCTTCCTTAAAAAGTAAATATTGTCCACAGAACCAGCATCATTATTTTGTTTGTGAGCTGAGCATTTCATGAGGTTATAGGATGTGAGTCATGTATCTCTAGAGATGAATGACAAGCACAGTAAAATATAATTGAATAAACCATGATTATTTGCAATGTGATTATATGTCGTCAATACTGAATACCGAAACATTTTACAGACAGGATTACAGAATGACAGAAAGATTTTCATTGAGGGAATGTGTTGAGGAATGTATTTCACTAGAAAGTGAAATACAACAGGCATTGGACTAATTGTAAAATAGGAAAGTACAACATAATAAAACATCCACTGAACTATTTAAAGCCGTAGGAGAAGAGCCATTTTTAAGTGCTAACAGCTTTCTGTCAAGAAATATGGAACAGAACTCTGTGGCTTGCAATTTGGAGAAGGGAGAAGATGCAAGAGAATGGACAAATTACCAAATCATTGCATTAATAGTACCCACAAAATTTGTGAAGAAAATGTCAAAAGAACAGGCAGACTTTGGAAAAGACAAAGGAATACAAAATATCTAACATGATGGACATTGGAGAGAACAGGGGTATTAAAGGAACATTTTCTTTGCTTTATTAATTATAGCAAGGCCTTTGACTGAGTAGATCATACTTAAATGCTGAACATATTAAGGTTAATAGATGTAGCAGGATACCGGATTCTTCTTCAGAGGAACCTTTACAATGAACAAGAAACTACTATAAAATTGACTTTGAAGAAACCAATTGGTTCAGAACAGGAAGGGGTATAATACAACATGCATATTGTCTCCAAGTCTTTTAAACTTATACAGCAAATATATTTTAAGAATGGCAGAATTGGAAGAGACGACAACTTGAAATAATAGACTGAAATACTAATCACTGAGATACACATATGAAACCATTTTTAGCCAAAAATAAGGAAGATTCAAAAGAGCTCATTATGAACATAAAAACAGAAAATTAAAAATTTAGGTTAATATTAAATAGTTAATAGTTAAAGATGGACAGTGCTCTGGAGAAGTAAAAAGGAGATAACTTCTAGGGTGAAGAAAAATGACCAACTTAAATAAGATAATTAAGGTTAAGGATATTGGTATGACCACAAAGATGAGGATAGTTAAAGCACTGTTCATTCTAATGATAATGTATCACTATAAAAGCAGGATGTTGAGAAAGAATGAAAGAATACAGATGCCTTTGAATAGTAGAGCTGGAGAGAGTTATCAAAAGTGCCATGGATTGGAGGAAGAATCAATCAATCAATCAATCAATCAATCAACAACTAATTGCTCTCTTTAGGCAATTATCAGCAAGTAGAACCTGTGATATAAGCATATTATAGACTATAAAAATGACTATACTTGGCAAGATTAAGGGATATAAAAGGGGAGACAACAAATAAGTGAATGAATGAGATCCAAGAAACTACAGGACTGTGCTCAGAAGAGCTACTAGTTATTACAATAGATAGCTAGTGATGGTGAGCATTTATCTGTGTGATAACAGGAACTAAATTTAACTCAATAGCATCAACTATATCACACATTCTCAATGTGAAAACCACTAAGAATCAATAGAGACAAAATGGACAGAAAGACTGCCAGGTTCTAGTTGACAATTCCAATATTTATAATAGGTTGCAAAGTTTATTATTTTCACTACTTTTAATGGTAGTTTTCAGTAATTAAGCAAGATCTATAGATAAAGAAAAGTCAAAGGGTTGATCTGATAATTTGGCAGTTTTATTTTTGAAATGTTGAAATCATGACAGAATTGGATGATCTGAATTCCCTGGCAACTGCAAGATTACTGCTGTTTTAAGATTCAAGGTAATATAGAAGTAGAACTTCAGCTCTGTGCTATATCAAGATTCTTTCATTTCCTGTATCAGTGTGAAAGATCATACAATTATAGAATTTTGACAAATCTAAGATGCTTTAGTATATTATTTTCAAACAATGTGAAGGCCAGTATTGTTTAAAAATTATAAAAGGAACAGGAAATATGACTTCCTTAAGTAACCATATAGAATCAATAAATATACTGTATGGTCAGGATGCAAGAACATTTATCCTTTGAGTGAACTACTTTTTCAACTTAAGTAATTACATTCTTTAGCTCAAGAACAGAGCTTGCCTTTTTCTGAAATAACATGGCACGAGCTATAAATTTTTTCATTAAAACTTGGTTTTTCATTTTACAGCATTTTATTATATCTTCATCTCAACCTTTCTTAAATGAACTCAAGATTACTTCTATGATATTTTATTTGGCAATAACCTTGGAAAATCTGAGAGTGATAACTGGCTCAAGGTCACTCATAGCTGACTGCAGAGGAAACCCTGTCACCATAGTCTTAGTTCTACATTAACTATACTACTTTACAATACTTCTGTTATGGTTATATAGACAAAAGTGGATTGAAAGAATCTCCAATCCTCCCTATCTCACTTTAATCAGATTAAATATTTCTTTCATTACATATGTTCAGACAGTAAAATACCACTCACAGATGGATTTACCTTCCTGAAAGTGGTGTATGTACACGAAGTTTTCGTAAAAGAGTGTCAGGAACGTTGGGCATGACGTCACATCTATTCTTTGACTCCTCCTCCTCCATTGAGAAAGGAATTGGTGAAGACCCTAAAGAAAAAATGTTTCACTGATATAACAGAAGCAGTTGAACAACTGAAAAATAATTAGTAAGTATTCTAATGGTTCAAATGTTTTGGAAAGCTGGATGGAGAAAAAGGGCATTCTGCTCTAAGAAACCAATTTCAGAATAAATTTAATCCAAAAAATTCAATTTCTGGGTTACTGACTAAAGTAAAACTCAGGTATTCCAAGGGATGATCAAAGAATATTCCATTGTACAAAATTAAGCAGACTTTTATTTTTGAGCAAATGGACTATTTACATTATAAATCCCTATATCCTGCTTCATAGGTTATTTGGTAATAGTTAATGATCTCAAATGCAAATACCATTGTAATCAACTGAATATTACTGTATTTAAGACTATGGGTCCACTGTCGGGTCATCTGCAAATTTTGTACATAGCACACATACAGTACACACATGTACAATTTCCATAATAGTGTACTCTTCCCCTTTCATTCCAGGGGTGGTGAACCTATAGTTCTCCAACTATTGTTGGACACCAATTTCCATCGGTCCCACTCATGTCTTACACCTATGCAGGAAGAGATTTTACATGAAGTTGTCCTTAGTAAAGATTTTTAGCAAAAGGCCTCAGTGTTAGAAAAGCGTTGTGGGTACTAAAGTAATGCCCCCTCCCATTTATTCACAAATATATATTTTTTCAATTTTATTGTATTTCACCTCTTTCCTGTTCAGCAGCTTCACTGAGATCAGGAAGTTTAAGTCCAACTAAATTTTGATTTCGCATCAATATGTGCTCCTGATGGAGGGAAAAAAACCTGAGTTATTTCTTAACATTTTATTTCAAAAATAACTTTTCAGTAGTAGAAAAAAGTCTATTAAACACAGTGTTATAAATACATACAATATCAAAGAAGCTGATGGTAATCTAGAAATCCTTGATTTAGTAACAAGTGGCCACACAATATTGAGTTTAAATCCTATCCTTCACTATAAGACATTTCCAGCATGATTCACAACTATAAAAACAATACTGCAAAATATACAAAGGGTAAAATAGTGCTAAAATAATACTGGTGGGAATAGCTAAAACCTAGGAAAAGAAAATGATGATACTAGGACATCAGATTTCATTACATGGCACCACTATCAATTATTCGTCCCTCTCTCCAGTTGCCACCTGTCTACAAAAAAACAAACAAACAAATAAATCCCTTTTCATCTCAGTTCATAAATAGCATAGAGCTTTTAAAAGTGAGCCACATTCTGAACTGTGCCTTCAAGTGGACTGGGAAACAATAAAACAAAATATTCAAATTCTAATAGGGGTCTAGGCAGAGAGCCTTTTCTGCTGTGCCTCCCGCCCTATGGAACATCTTGCCTCCCGAGGTCCGGTGTGCCCCCTCCTTCATGGCCTTC